AAATAATGTTTAATTTTAAAAGCATATTCAGAGAATACTCGTTAATCACATAGCTTTCTTGTTTGGATATATTGTGACATAATAGTTTATTTTATCCATAACACTTCTTTAAGAACTAGAAACTTTAGTTTTTATTCGTCACAGTAATCTTCAAAATTATGGTTTGTACACTTTAAGATTGACAAATAAGTATTTTTTTAAAATAACTCGGTAACTAAAGTATCTATAATTTGATATTTTTAAAAAGTCATTTAGTCTTTATGCACATTTTCTGTCATCGAATACAATTATTTGGTTATTGAACCGTTTAACAGAAAAAAAGAGAAAAATTAAAATTAAAAAATACAGAAATTGTGTCATAACCTCTTAAAACATAATGGAGATATACTAAAAGAACAATAAAAAAATATTACAGAAACTTAACGATTTCGGCCAACATTTGTTTTGTTCTTAATTTTTTAATCAACATTCACTGCGGTTTTGAAAAAAATAATTAGATATATGCCGATTGAAATATAAAAAAAATAATTAATTTTTCCTAGAAATATTAATATAACTGAAGGTAAGAGTAATTAAGAATAAACTGAATAGCATAAATAAGTATGATAAAGCATTATAATTATCATACACATCAGGCAAAAATGACATGATGAATCATATAGAGTTGATGTATAAAAAAAAAAAAAAATCATCAGATTAATGAAACCAATCAACGTTATTAAATCTCAAAGCGAGTAGAAACGAAGTCCGTAGAAAGTGAAATCAACAAGAAATTTCCATTGGGCATTGATTTTTTTTTTTTTTTTTCTTTCTTCGCTTAAGAAAGTTTCCGAAGGAATCCTGTAGGAAGCGGGAAGGAAAAGCCTTGCAAATCTGTGGCCCTTAGTCTAAGCTGGCAGAAAAAAAGGGCCAACTTAAGTCTCCAAATTAATGTCGGTAATAGTGCTCACCTCATGAGCCGATTTACTGCTAACGTCACCACTTCCCCTATCCATTACTTAAACTCTCAAAACAATATTTACTTCGAGTACCTATAATACTGCGCTAATAATATAAATAATAATTAAAATGCATAAACAAGACCGATCAATACCAATTAGATACAAAAATAAAGATGTACTATTAAAGACTAGCTGATTATCACTCTACAAAATAATTATCTCCAATCATTATTCATTGATATTTATTAACAATTTTTAATTTTTCTACAATATCTTCAATACTGTCAACAATTAAAAAAACATAGGTACAATAATCTCACAGATTTTATTAATAATTTTAAAATATCCATTTTAAATTTTCGTTCAGAACAAAATTTGTGTTATGTCCTACATTAACTACCGTATAACTGGCTTGAAAGAAGAATGGCAAACTCAAAACCCCCCAAAAAAGTAACTTTTGTGTTAAGATTACGTATATGTGGAAAATTGTTAATAATTTGAGTTATGTCATTTTCTTTCATAATAGCAATAAATATACAAGAGAAGCATTTACTATATTCATCGGATATGTTCTCAATGAAGAATGTCCATCTTTTTTATTTAAAAACTAAGGTTATCTTCATTTTTGATCATTTAAATATGAGTCGTGAAAAACAAAACAAAAAAAAAAAAAACAATAAATTATTTTACTATAAAATTGATTGTTTTTTTTTTTTTTGTTTTTTTTGAAGAATTATAGATCATTAGAAAATTGTCAAGAGGGAAAAAAATGAAAATTTCCGTACTGTGCCAATTTTCTTTCAAACGAACGATATATACTAACTATGTTTTGAGTTACCTTAATTTTCTTTCAAGCTAACGGTGTCATTAACTAAAGAGATGATTAATTAAGATCTAAATTTTGAAGAAAAAAAAATTATTGTATTTCAACTTAAGTATTTATATTTTTGGAGAAATCAATGGATTCTTCAGATTTGATGATGTATTTTTAACATAGCAAAATACCGAGGAACAATTTTCCCCACTGTCTAAAATAGAAAAATAGGTTGAATAAATTATGCAATGAAACGAATAAAATGCATAAAATAATATCTATGAAATAGATAACGTTTTAAAAAAATATGTAGCATTCATATTATAACGACAAATTTTAAAGATGCAGTATAAAAATATTAACAAGCCTCTTCAGCCCTACAGATCATTGCAGAATATTTAATTCAAAGGCAACTCGAAAATTCATATTAATGTCGCGTTATGTTTAGGATCCATTTCATGAATACTATTTATTCCAGATGTAGAAATATTAGGTCGTTCTGATTTGCATATATTGCTCGATCCGATCGACGAGATCATTAAACAATGCTGTCGACCACACCATAATTTGCTGCGAAGTTAATTCATTCATTATACACCAATGAATCAATATTATTTTCAAATTAAGTTCTAGTATAAATGAACTCGATTGAATGAGATGAAAAAAATTGTTTTTGTAAGAAAAAAAATAGGCTACATTATTTTTTAATGTTTTAATTGTTATTATATGCTGATATTTTTTAGGTACTAACTAAAATAAAAATTTCATGTATTGTTTAAATGTCTTTTAAAATGGTAAATAAACTATTACTTAAAAGTGAAGTAATGTTCAATACATAACGTTCACTATTTTATAGCATATCGCATTTGTATTGTAATTCGTTATTGGACTTCATTTTAAAAGATCTCCAATAGATCTACTGAAATTTCCGTGATTGTTTCCTATACTAAAAGAAAATATTTTCTTTATGCTTAACTTTCCGGTACATTTTCCGTGTTGTCAAAGAGATTACATTTAATAGGAGTTCAAGAATCACTTAAACACCATTTTATATAGGTAGTTAGTTTCTTTTTTTTTTCAAAGTAATTGTTGTTATATATATATATATATATATATATATATATATATATATATATATATATATATATATATATATGACAACAAAAAGTTTTCGGGCTGAAGCTACCCAAAATTAAATCCTGCTTCCACTAGTGTCGCCAACTAAAATGGGTCACGCCCAACCGTAAGTGAAAAATTGCTTGTGCCTCGGCAAGGTTTCAAAATGTGTTAACAAGACTCCAGTCCGGTCTCCATCCATCAATTATTCATGGCTGTCGAGAAAGTCCCGAGTGGATCGATATATCTGAGGGAGAGATAAGATAGCGACGGCGAGGCTGCTCGCCATAACGACCGCGCCAGTTACAACAAGGATATTGACGCCTAGTCAAGAGCTGTCGTGGATGTATATCGTGCCGATTGGCTGAGAATTGGAACAGTCGGTCGAGGGTCAGCACATGACCCGTCCGCCAGTGATCCATTTAAGACGCCCGCGATTTAACATGACGAACCTCGGAGAGAAATTAAGAGCAGTGTTAAATTTAGCCCTACCAATGTCTTAATAACAGTGACAATCTTAGAACAGAATTTTATATGACTTGGAGATAGTACATAAATAAAACAAATCATATAATGTTTTCAATTTTATTTCTAAAATATTTATTTAAAAGAACAAAAAAGTAATTTCTTGACATTAATATTTTTAGAGATAGAGAAGAAGAAATATACATCTTAAAAAGAAAAAAAAAAATCATTTTCTTTTTAATCTGCCTTGATCAGGTAATCGGGAAGAGGAAATTGATAGAACGAGTGGATTGGTGTGATTTTGGGTTCAACATGTTAAATTTTGCTGTTTAAATGCTTAAGTCGTTATGTAAAGAGTGATTTCAAACATACTGTTGCGCGTTTTACAATTTTTCGAAGAATTTTGGATAGTGTTGTTTATATTTTGTTCATCTCTGCTTGTTTTTCTGGAACTAAAATATCTTCAGAAATTTGACGTGTGTTCAAAGTGGGGAATCATTATTGAAAACCGAAATATATCGAAAACCATGCTGCATACGCCTTTAAGAACATTTTATTAGAAAGTAAGATCATGTGCTTTTCTGTTCTCTCTTGACCCGCGAATATTCCGATATACAAGCCAAAATCGTTATATAAAACAGTAAAGCTTTTTCTTCAGCATGTAATTAAAATTCAACGGAAAATAATGTTCATAAAATACGAAACACGCGGTTAACAAAAAATATGTTTTGTATTGATCTATATGAAAAATTTTAGTTTTTGAAATTATAGGCTTTTGTAGTGTGGATGGAATTTAGCATGTATTAAGTGTTTATTAATAAAATTTTCAATCATTGTAAGCGATTTATATGTTATTTGTTCATCAAGCAACGTCAAGTTCTCATTTATTTTTTTATATTTTACACCTAAAAAGCGCATTGTATGACTAAGCTCCTTTACATACCTTACGCTCCAAAATATACAGATCTTCGGTAATACAATTAAAACTGTTTCCCGAAATTCATTTTTATCCCCTCACCAGGAGAACATAGGCCGGTTCCCACCGCATGGTATTCCCAAGAAGGCCCGCCATTGTTCTGCCACTCACCTCTCACCTTCCAGGTGTTGTCAGCCTATTGCCATTCACAGAGCTCGGCTGAAAGAATTCGGGGTGAGTAGAATTGTGTGAATGAGGTAGTTTTGAAGGGATGGGTTCCACAACCGAATCCTCACGTTCGTCTGTATGTCATTTCCAAGACTAGACAAGGGTGAAATGTGAAATTACTATTCAGAATATATTCCATTCCGGGAATGATCAATCTTAACATGACAACAGCGAAAGACTAAATTAGTAAATGTGGACATAAAAATTAGTGTCCAATTTCAATTGTATTACATCATGATAACTACTTAATGTAATTTTCTAGAATGTTTATAACTGCCAATTGATGACTTAAAAAGAAATCTCAACTATACGATACAGAAACACACAAGAACTGATGCCCAAAGGTCAGGGTAAACTTGTTTCATCGTATCTTCTCACGAACAGCGAGCGGGCAATAGCGTCAAAGCTCTGAATTATTTGGTCTATTCATTTAAAACTCTCCCAAGCTCGCTCATAAGGAAGGGTTGAATTATTACAGAGAACTTTAAAAGTGAAGGACGGATTTCGGGGTGTAAGGGCTATGAGGCTAGGCTTAACTTTCAATGGTCGCTTTGAGGGTGTCGGTTCTGAAAACCCAGGTGACCACATGAAAGAGCACTTTCAGGAACAAGAAACATTTTGTAATTTAGCCAAAGTAATCGAGCTGAATCATTAAACCAGGTAAAAAGGAACATGTATAATAATTATTTGTTTGAGGCCACAAGCCCTAACCGTAAGAATAATTTTCAACGCCTCAAATACTGTTGTTGTTAACTAATTAAAACAAAAAATAATTAAAGTTGATAATACGGTACATCAGCAAGCAGAGTAATCAAACTATACGATAGCGTTATAGATTTTCAACCATTTATTGTTGTCGTCTATTTCCTTCGAAAATGTAGACATTTGCATTGTATCATCAGTGGAAGGCGAGGTTGCGTTTTCTATTCGCTTCAAAATCTCTAAAACAAGATTATGAATAGCTAACTAATACTTTTTTAACTCTTTCATATTTTGAAGGAAAATTAGTTCGTTCTGTCTCCTTTTTTACTAAAATAAAAATTATATAATAAAAGGTATTTAACGATACTGAGTTTCCCAATTTCAGACATTTATAATCTACTTCAATCAGCAACATCCTTAAAACTTTGCTATGTATATATATATATATATATATATATATATATATATATATATATATATATATATATATATATATATCAGTAAGTTTTTAGTATTTTTTTGTTTTTCTCTTCTCCCAATATTTTAACTTTAATGAGATTTGTAAATATATAATTTAATGTACGGCCACAGAGACATTTCTTCTTTAACTATAATTTGTCCTAAAGGGACAACAGTCCCAGAATAATAAAAACATATTTTCATTTCATTTCATCATTTATTAGAACTAAGAACAATTTTATTACGATCTGAAAAACAAAATAAATCAAGGATACGTTTCTATAGGCCACTACACGCAAAAAAAAAAAAAAAAAATCATTAAGCGAGTGTTCTGAATGTGCTTGTAATATGGGATACCAAAATATATGCAGGTAATACCAGGCAATGGAAAAGAAATCGATGATCTCGATCTGAGAGATATCTTATTATGGAAATATCCTATTTGGATTTTCATTAAATAGAAAAAAAAAACATACTGGTATAAGACGAGAAACGGTTTACAAATAATTTCATGACTTTTTTTAAGAATAACAAATTGAAATATTTCAAACTGAGAAGGAAATATTTCACTTTCAATAACATGGCTTCAATAGTTCTGTTTGTCCCATTGGATTCGCAATCAGAGAGGGGCAAATGCTACTCTTGAGAACCGAGTGACAAGTATTTTACTCAAATTGGATCACTGTTGGGAATTCAATCCCTACTTCAGTTAATCGTTTGACATCAACTGAAGTAGTAATTAAATTCTACGGAACTAAAAAAAAATCAGCATTTGAGTAAAATACTTGGTACTCAGTGGTCGGAGTAGCATTTGTCCGCTATTGACTCAATGTTCTTGGTAGGGAAAGCAGTGTGTAGGGACAAGTAAGACTTGTTCTATTTATAACATTTAGAAAATAATAAATCATTGTGTAATAATTTGCAACCATATTATTTTCCAGTTTAGCATAAAACAATTTAATCCGTTTTCATTTTTTAAGAATAAAAAATAAGAAAAAAATAGGACTTCAGCAACAGAGCTCTGGGGCAAACAATTATTTTTACATTATTTTATTTTTTCCCCAAGGCATCATGATTAGGGATGGCTATCTCTATCTAGTCGATATCATCGAAATATCAGCATTTATCTTTCGATTTTCGATATTTCACCATCATTAGTATTTACTTCGATATTACTGACTACCAATATCATTCCTTCGATATTTTAATTTTAAAATAAAAATTAAAAAAAAAAAAAACTATCTTTTATGGAAATCGACAGGAATTATGTATGAGCCAGATCGTTAGAAAAAATATTTATGCTCATCTTGACTGTTTCATATACAATGTACTGAGTAGTAGAGGAAAATATCGATATTTCGATAATATCGACTATCGATTGCCATCCCTATGTAGAGTAGAAAACGCGTGGGACCCTTCTCTCTCAATTTTTTTTTTTGATAGAACCTCATCAAGCCAAGGCCACGAATTGTCAAAAAATCTATGTAGAGGAACCCTTACACGATCATTCGTGAATGAACGTCACAAGAATGGCAAAGATTGCTCGGGATCGCTTTGATCATGAAGACCCTTACACATTCAATCATTACTTATCATTGCTGACGCCAATCTAGCTCAGTTGTAAACAAAGAAACAGCACAGATAAGCTTATTTGGACATTGTCCTTTATAGTATTGGACATCAAGAGAAAAATGGAGATATAATAATTACTTCCTAGTGCCTGAAAATCGTATAGACCAAAGATAGAAAAATATAAGTCAACTATTTACAAAAATTTAGGAAAAGTATTGCAAAAATAATCAACTTGTTAAGTTGTCAATTAATGACAAATAAACACAACAGTTAAAGATTTTTTTTCTAAAAGTAAATTGTGAATTTCCACTTTTTTTTTTTTTTCAATTTATTGCCCAGTTGATTATTTAAAGAAAAAATAGTTGAAAATAGTTTATAAAAATATAAACTAGGGTTATAAACAACTATTTACTTTTATGAAATTATTTACTTAAAAATGAGACCTAGATAAACTAACATATCTAATAGTAAGGTTACTCCCATAGAAAATCGTTTTGACAAAAGTTAGTAAAATATAAGTCTACTACTTACAATAATAAAGGAAAGGTATTGCGAAAATAATCAATTTATTGAGAAAAATAGGAAAAGAACTGACAAATATACACAACAGTTAAAGATTAATTTTTTTTTTCTTTATGTAAATTGTGAAGTTTCCACTTTTTTTTTTTTTAATTTGTTCCCCACTTGACTATTTATGGGAAATAGTTGAAGATGGTTAAAAAAAATAAAATAAACAAGGGATATGAAAAACTATTTACTTTAAATGAAAATCAGGAATTTATAATTGTTGTGAGGCCTAGGTAAACTAACCTATCCAGTAATAGGGGTATTCTCTCCACTACTTTTACCTTAGTTCCCCCTCCACTTCTCGTGAATGAACCTTTGTTTTCCGGATGTTCGGAAATCCGCCCGAAACCTCCATCAGTACTTCATTCACTATCTTACACGATAATTCGGAACGTCATTAGTGTCTCGGATTGCAATTCCAAATTACCGTGCAGTGTACCCTTAGGATGCAAATAAATTAGCAATAGGCGTATTTGGTTGAATGAAAATTTCTGGAAAAAGCTAAGGATTCCGAAGACGGGCATGAACAAGAAAATTAATTTTACTAAGGAGAGTAGAAGAAGAATTGACATTTCTATAAATTAATATAAAGAGGAATATAACATATTTTCGAGGCACCTATGTGGTAAAGAATCAATATTTATATTCATATTCATATTTCATAAATGTTTACAAGAACAATGAAAATGTCGAATATCAATATTTCAAGTCCAATATTTTAATGGTATTGATAGTTATCAATACAATTAAAATAAAACTGTACTTATAGGCTTATATTTTTAATACTTAGAAATAAATACTTATGTTTCTATTATTGCGTTATTAAAAAACATGTTGATTTCAAATATACACTGTTTTCCAGCTATTAGACATTATGCAGCAATGCGTCGTTGAGAGACTTTAAGGCGAAAAAAGAATAGATTAAACGAAGGAAGAAAAGCGGCGAAATAATTATCAAAATATCTCTCGGGGATAAATGCTTTAGGAAATTGCCTGGGATGGGGAATGGCCGCAATGAATGATTTAGCAATTATGAGCTGTAATTGGTTTCCCTCGCATCGACAAAGGGACACCAGCCTGTACAAAAATCTCATCATGTTTTTAGTTTTCTTTCCCTCTACATTTTTTCCCCCTCAGGAAAGAAGGGGAATTTATACTTGGCTGGCCTTCAACAGATCTTCCCTGACAGCTGGAAAAACAAGTCATCAGTTTCCAACTGAATCAGCGACACACAATTTCAAGCTCGGACCCGGTCGACGGTATTACTTTGGTCGGGAAGAAAAGGCAAAGAACGTTCAACTATAGATACCCAATTTATTATTAAACATTTGGTCAAATTTGTTATTCTAATCGGATTTCGAACTTTATTAGAAAGATGTTGATAGAAAAATAAAATAAACAAATAAAAACAAAACATAATTTTATAATAAATTTCATTTATTATTTTTCCCTCTTCATATCTTTATCCACACCTGTCATGAGCTTTATAATAAGCAGATGTGTTGTTATTGTTCCAAAAATTGGCATTTTAGCCATGAGGAAGAATAGTACCAAGCAGCACCTCTTCCTGTTCTTGATTTACTTCTCTAATTCAAGAAAGGAGATCTCTCATCCAGCTCCTCTTCAGTCGTCTTCTGATGGGCAACAGCTGTGGCCATGTTTTTGATAAATCCGTTGTGATGTCCGTGTAGTTTAAGATGAAATCGGAAGAAGAGAGTACTTATGTGTTGGTCGATAGTTGGTTGTTGTAAGTCGATATGTAAAGTTTCATTGTTCACGCACCAGGGAGCTGTTGTTATTAGTCTTAAAATTATGGATTGAAATTATTGCAGTTTTAGTAAGTACGTTATTTTTTATTTTATATTATTTTTTTCAGATCCATGAATTTGTGAAGAGTTTGTTCATATGGGTTTGAGTAGACAAGTGTAATATAATTTCATTGTTTAAATTTCTAGTCCCAGTTTTAACGATGAGACGAAAATATATTTTCTGTTTCGCATACTGAGGACCGACATAGGATTTCAAAATCATTTAAAAAAGACACAACAAATTTCAGACTTTCTAGGTTATTATTTACCAATCTTATTATACATTAAAAAAAAAGAAAATCATGAACTCAAATATGAAGTATTTTATTATTTTTATATAAATTCTAATTTAAGAATTCTAAAGGACACTAAATACTAACTTGATTTTTCATAAAAAAAAAAAAATTACTTAGTCCATTAAAAATGAAGCATCTTTTGTTTTTTTTGTAATTTTATGATGAAATAGAATTTATTGCACTATCGGTAATAGTTTTTCCTTGTTCTGCGAAATAAATAGGTATATAATATCCTAGCAATCCGGACTAAGGAAAGAAAAAAAGTAACATACATTTTCTTTAAATTATATGAATTATTTTTTTCCTTATTTCCTATTTCTAGGTCTATTTGAGTGAACGTCGGGATATCTGTGCAGTGATAAAAAGTATTGCCAAAATAAATTTACTGTGACTTCCGTTGTTAGTAAGTATTTTTAGACTAATAATGAGCGATGAGTTGTTGTCTGAAACTAGGTGATTTAATCTCTTGATGCTTGTGAAACGTAAAGTGAAACATGAAGTTGGGAAATCGTAAATTATTTATGGATATTTCAGGCTCCAATTTTAGATTTTTATAATAACATCCACATTGCACTTGATTATAATCAATACTAATGCTTATCATTCACATATCATTAATTATAATAAACTAAGTAACTTTGACTCTTTGTTATATGCAGTCATGAGGTCTAAAGATCCACTTCACAATATTTCCTTATTGATATTTTCCGTTTACAGCCTCAAATTATTGGGCGCGGTACGATAAGGCGATATCCGACAAAGGATAGTTGTGGGGCATTGTGGAGGCCCTATAAAGGAGGAGTACCGACGAAGAGGAGAGAGGAGGCGATATTGATAAAAGATAGAGGCACGCGAGGAGACTGATAAAGGGCGGGGTATGTTGAGTCCTTCCCCGGGGACCGGGCCCCTCAATAATACACGGCTCCATCTCAGAGATTGTCTATCAGGGCTAATAGCTTCATTCCGGCTCTCATTACATCCGCTGCAATATGCAAAGGATCCATCAGCTGCAGGTGAGTCTAGAGCGGGAAGGGCTGGGTAACTGTATAGCACTATATAGGCGTCTCCATTATAATGAAAACGCTCTACCATAGTCAAAAGGAAAGCACTATTAGTGCATATAATGATGTAAAACATACATAGTCGTTATATTGCCACGAAGATAGATATTCCTATTATTATCTTGTGGCAACTATTAATGAGGTAGTGACAGTGATAATTAATTATTAATTTAAAAAATTTAAACTCATAGAAATTGATATCATTAAAATAACTACGAAAATTATTGTGATCAAAAAGTAGAAACCAAATAAATAACTTATACGGACATCATAACACTCTCATACAAGAAGCTGGATGCAGGATCGACTAAGAGGACAGGTAGGGATACCGCTGGGCACGCCGATCAATGATAATCAATACTCATATTCTTCCGGAAATTCTAACACGTCTCCGATGATGCCGAGAACTGGCACATACGGATATTTTAACATTTTTCTATTTTACTATAAAATCATGTGATGCGCGCGCCTCACACATCTTCCACTTACCACGCTATTAGAAAATAAGTATTTTCAGACAAAGGAAAAGTGAAAGTAAGAATTATAGATACCACGGGCGGATCTACGGGGGGGGGGGCTTTCGGGCTGAAGCCCCCCCCCCAAAATGGTAAAATATAACTATGTTTTATGGGAAAATATATTAAAAAATTATCTCTTAAAGTATTATTATTGGTGTAATTACATTTAAAAGGACTTAAGGAATCACTTAAACACCATTTCATATAGATAGCTAGTTTCTTTCTTTTTTTCCAAGGTAATTATCGCCATTTTTATGAAAAAAAAAGCTTTCGGGCTGAAGCCCCCCCAAAATTGAATCCTGGATCCGCTAGTGATAGATGCTATATTTATTTATATTTCATTGTGAGTATTTTTATATGTTTAAATACCCATATATATACAAATTTCAATTTTTATATTGCTGTAATCTATACAATTAAAAATTCGATAATACCAACGATAGAATTTTTAAAAACAGTATATTTATTTGTACATAGTATTGTCGAAGTCCGTATTATATTAAGCTCATATTACGTATGAAAGTCTGTTTTAATCTTTAGGGCGAGCTCGAGCTCGTTCGTATTCCTTTGGTTCCTCAATTATAACTATTATCCTGTAGTTAATTATCAAATTCTTTCATATTTTATATTTATCTATTTTTAATATCAGATATTAATGTGGAATGGTCAATTATTTCAAATAAAAAAATGATTCAATGATTTCATTAAAATTGTAAGAATTCGATAAAATCGCAAAAAATGTTAAATCGATGATATAAAGTGTCACTTCCGGTCAGCCGATTTTGACGAAAGAGTTGCTGTAACATCTCAGGCATATACGAACCTTAAATACGCAATTTCACTTTACTTCACGTACGACTTTTCGTTTTTTAGCTAGACTGTTAATGCACAGACCATTTTGTGGGACTATGTTATTTGGTCTCAGAGTTGAGGTGTATTTCCATTTAAAACTGAGATTCGAAAGGTTCCACGACTGCAATACATTCCTTTACTATATATTTTATATATAGATAAGTGAAAGTAAAAATAAATCGAAGGAACTGTTTCACAAATATACATTGAAATTTGAGGTCTTAACTGACTTAAAAAAACCGAAATTGTTGAACTGAGTACCCATGAAAACGGGAAAAACACATTTTAAAGCTTGCTTGAGGGAGCCGAAATATAAGTTTATAATTGTTTAAAAAAAGTATTTTGAGTATTTACTTTTGTCCCTTTGTACACAAATCCTTAGGTGGCGGATAAGATTAATTAGTGAATAATTAGTAGTTAATAATGGGGTGTAACCCTCCTCCCTCCTACTAGGGTGGTTAAGGAGAGCGAGGTGTTACAGAGGGATAGAGGCGAAGTACTGGGAATTGTTATTTGTGGTAACGGAGGTTCCCACCTGGGACGTGTCGGAGAAGGCTTAGCTGGAATCTGATAATGACTATTATAGCGTCGAGGGCTCTCCGGAGCCTGGAAACTTAACTCCAGGAGATAGAGACCCGCCTCGAGGACTCCTATCAACAGATGGCTGCCTCTCATCGTGTCGTCCAGAAACACGAGAGGATTTTAATTTCAATTATGAAAACGATAGTATTCGGTTATATTAATTATTATTGCTATACCGGTTCAATATTGTTTAGTTAAAAACTCGAGAAAAAAAAATAGAGAGAAAAGCAAATCGTTTACAAATAGACCTTGATATCAAATTAATGAAAATTTATAAAATATTATAAATTTAAGAAGGTGAGAAGCACTAATCTATCTCTGGCACCTGTGATTAGTGTGTTAAGTGATAAAATCATATTTTAGGAAAAACGCAATTGAACATTTGGAATTTTAACAGGTGAAAAATCAAAATTCGAGATTCAAACCCTGATTTACTAAGTAATATTCATTTCTGCAATAGCCATATGACTTTGCCAATTAGACTCAAATGAAGAAAAAAAAAATAAGATTCTGGTGATACCAATAAAAATTTCCGAAATCGCATTATTCACAGGTGAGACAGAAATATCGCAATAAATGTTCAGTATCATTCGAACTAAGATGATCAGGCAATCGTAATATAAAAAAATAAGATATAATAATATATACTACGAGGTGTGCCTATTAAATAACGAGACTATATAAATGCTATAATTTTTTTTTTATTTCATACATTTTTACTTATTAATAATTACCAATATACACTCCTCTTCTATCCATATAGCGCTCCTCTATGCAAATCTATTATTGTCTGAAACAGTCCTGGAAGTCTTCCCCAGTCAGTTCCTTCAGACGCTTGCCGCTTTCTCTTTCAAACCTTCAACGGACTCAAATCTTGTCCCTTATAATGCAGATTGATTAATCGTGGTTTTTTACTTATGATCCTGAAACGGAGCTCCAATTCACGCAATGGAAGAACCTAACTTCGCCGAGAGCCAATCTCATATTGAACACAAATTCAAAGTAGTGATGTTATTTCGAAATTCGTGGGATTTTTTAGTACATTCACTGGGTTCCTGGAGTTCATGATATTAACCAACATTATTGCATTTTCGCTCTTGCTGAAAGAGGAAGTGGCACTTATGAAGTAGTACACAGAAGACTTCCAGCTCAGTTTCAGACACTGGAAGATTTGCATAGAGCGTTGCA